GTTGATATTTCTGGGTGTATTAGGTCACTGTAGATTTAATACCTTGATTAATAAGTATCTAATTTGTTTGATTGACCTAAAAACAGACAAATATCGGTCCCTCCAGGTTTTTGCGGGAGGTTATTGTGGCCTAAAATGTCTAAATAAAACAGTTTTTTAGGCTTTTTCTTGCAATAAACTTGCAGGAAAAAGTGAAAATTGTTGCAATTTCTTTTGTATAATTCATTAAAAACTGACAGCAACTTGTTCCAGTAAGAATAAATGTCTGCGCTGTCTGCATCTTCACGACTAGAAACCAGGAAATTAGTTGTTTGGTTTCAACTTTCTGAGCAGGAAAAGCTCCAATTGTGCGGAAAAGTTGCGATAATTGGACAAAATTGCAGAAATCACAGGGATTAGATTGAAAACTGCCTGGATGGACTGAAATATAAACAGTTTCTCAGTTGATTTCCCATAAAGTTGACCGTATCACATCCACATCGCCCACTCCCACCATCCACCTTCCTTTCACCGACACAAAGAGGGAACAAAGTGTCACAGCGACTCTGAGCTGGACAGAAAACTGCCATTTCTCCTCGTGCTCCTCCTCAGCTGCATCCTGCTTTCACGTCACCACCTCCTTTTACTCTTCAGCGGCAGGTTATAGTTTTCAAGTTGGGCTGTTCACTTTGATACCAGTAACGTTTATACTGAAGCTTATTTGGACCTTTTTGTCCGTGATGAACAGATTCTGGCTCAAACTAAAAGCTTCTTTTATTCTGTTTTTAGATATTTTTTATTTCAGCACTCCTGTTATTCCTCCTTCAGCTTCACAGGTGTCGCTGTGATTTTAGTATCTGCGAGTCTCAAACGTTTGCTTATGTAAAAGGGGCAAGGTTTCTTTTTTTTTTCAAATATATATATATATATATATAAATTTTGTTCATGTTATGTATAATTGTAAGCTATTTATAGCGTACACAGCGATCCCTGTTGAACAAATCAATAATGCATTATGGTTAATGGTAATATTGTATAACTAGTTTTGTTTTTTAGATGTTAAATATTTTGATAATTTATTTTTTAACACATTCCCACTGTTGCAGACAATAGTGAAGATGAGAGGGTACTGTGTTTTTATTTGTTGTTGCTGTTTTACTTCTGATCTCTGTACAAAAACTGATTCCTCATCGTTTTCTATTTCCTGGCGTCATCTTTCCCGTTTGTGCGTGTGGCGGAGGGTACGCGATGCAGAGACCAATGTTGTTTTTTTCTTTGGGTTGTAATAATAACTTGTACATTTTAAAGTGTAAATTATGTTTTCATTATTTTATAAAAAATATATTAAAAATAACTATCTGAACATTGTCTCATTTTCTTTGTTTTTGAGGCTGTTTTCTTTTATTTTTCCCTCTTAAGTTATATTTGTGGTTGTAAATTAATGCTGCAACTGTTTTATAATTTTACATTCATGAAAATAAAATCTGAAAATAATAATTCCTAAAGCCCAAAGTTACGTCTTCAGATTTCTTCTGTCCAGAAGTTCAAAACCCCCAAATACTTAAGTTTATTGTGTTTTACTGTCAGACCTGCTACATATCTGAATAAAAAGCTTTTACTACTGGAACTCATTAATATATTATAGCTGCAACATAATGAGCAATTTCTCAACATTTTAAAAATATATAATATCTGCTGGTTCCAGGTTTGCAACAATTAGCTGCTTTTCTTGGTTTTGATGATAGCAAATTAAATAACTGACAAGACATTTGATCACATCTTGTGAGGCTTTAAGATATTCTGACTGTCCTCTGTGCTATTAAAGTATTTGAAAATAAGCTAAAATCTTATACTGAATAATAAAAGATCTCGAGGGTTAGCAATAGCTGCCACCCCAGTTTGGAAAATGCTTTCAAATTTAACACATTTAGAATAATTTGAAAAACAGAAAATAATTTAATAATCTGTTGTGGCTACATTTGGGAAAGTGATTTTAAAAATGTAATGAATGAATTTCTAAAGCAACCTTTATATTTTATTTAAAGCTTCACTAATGTGCCATAATAATGTTTGAGTTCAAATATCTTCGTTTGGCAGCTTCACCAAGCAAATTTTGATCTGATTGTGATCAAATCAGCCTTTTATTTATATTTCTCTAAATCTGCCGCTGACACGACTTCTTGTCAATACTAAATACCCTAATATAATAATATATAATAAATAAAGTTTATTTTTCAGTTTCACAGCTCCCACAAACACAATTAAACAACTTGTTGCATGTAAAACATTTTATTATTTTCTATTACAAACTTAATTTCAAACATAAAATACACTTTGTAGTTAAGTACTCGCGTCGACAGAACATTAGTTTTTTTAATAAAATTAATTCTATACATCCCGACAGTGTACCAAAGTACTGCTCAAGTTTTTAACGGTTAGGAGATCAAGCCCTCCCCGGTAGGAGTGTGATTGACAGACGGTGCGTTTAAGATCCGCACATGAGGCAGTCGTCTCGGTTCTCCAGAGAACACACCATGGCTGCGATGTTTCGCTCTTTGATCTCCTCTGAGGCCTTGACGGGCTCCGGCGTGTCCTTCAGCTTCTCCTTGTTCAAGGTGAACTGGATGGGGTTGGCAGCAGGCTTCGTCCTCAGGTAGTACATTCCCGTCTTCAGACCCTGCGGCGAGGAGGGAGAAGAGAGTTTAACACGTGTTGCGTTCATTAGCAGCAAGTTTTAATTCTTTATCCTCCACGTCTCACTTACTTGTTTCCAGCCGTAGAAGTGCATGCTGGTCAGTTTGCCGTAGTTGGGCTCGGCGATGTGGATGTTCAGAGACTGGCTCTGGTCGATGAAGGCGCCGCGGTCGGCGGCCATCTTGAGTATGGTCTTCTGGGAGATTTCCCACACGGTTTTATACAGCTGCTTCAGATCGTCAGGAATCCCTTCGATGTTCTGTGGAAACAAGAGTTTGAAAATGTCAATAACAAACACAAAATGTATTATTACATTAGCTGGTTCCAGGTCCTAAAAGTGAAGATCTGCTGCTCTCGTCTGTTTCCTATGATAGTAAACTGAATATTTTAAAGGTTTTATTCAGACGAAAGCAACTTTAATACGTCACCTTTGACTCTCTATGGTGGCCAATCTGGAGAATTTGATATTTTATAGACAAAATGAATAAAAAATTAATCTGATGAAGGTGATCGTTAGTTGCAGCTCTACACAACAGTAGACCCCGTTTGTCCCAGTACAGTTAATAGAAAATGAGCCAACTGGAAGCTTTTCAGTAAGTCATTGTTTTAGTGACCAGACTTAAAATTACAACTCGAGTAATTTTCCTGACTGTCCATCATAATGTCCTAGAGCCAGAAGTGGCGTCTGCAAGAGTCTCATTTCAGTCTGAAACTAGACCACTTAAATATGAGAAAGAAATACAGCAAATGTTTGATACTTTTGGTTGAAATGTCTGAAAAAAAAAAAAAAAATTATCAAAATAGACAAAGCTTTAACTCCTTCGATGATTACCTGAACGGACCCGTTGTGAGCGATCAGCTGGTTCTTCATCTCCTCGCTCCACAGTCCCCTCTCCGTCAGGTCTTTGAGCAGGTGAGGATTCACTATCTGAAACTCTCCCGAGAGCACCCTGCGGGTGTAGATGTTGCTGGTGTAGGCTTCGATGGACTCGTTGTTGCCCAGGATCTGGGCGGTGGAGGCCGTGGGCATCGGGGCCAGCAGCAGGCTGTTCCTCACGCCGTGCTTGGCGATCTTCTCCTTCAGGGCCTTCCAGTCCAGCAGGTCGGTGGGCGTCTTCTCCCACATGTCGTACTGGAGGATGCCCTTGCTGACCGGAGAGCCTTCGTACGTCTCGTAGGGGCCGAGCTCAGCGGCCAGCTCGCAGCTCGCCTCCAGGGCGGCGTAGTAGATGGTCTCAAAGATTTGAATGTTCAGCAGCTGAGCCTCGGGGCTTTCGAACGGGTAGCGCATGAGGATGAAGGCGTCTGCCAAACCCTGCACGCCGATTCCGATCGGCCTGTGGCGCTTGTTGGACTTCTCCGCTTCAGGCACTGGGTAGTAGTTGATTTCGATAATCTTGTTCAAGTTTTTG